ACTTAAGCTTAGAAGGAGTGCTTGTGTGAACGGGTGTGATTGGGTGAATGAATTAGTTGTATAAAGCACTTTGCGTGCTCAGGCAGAGTAGAAAAGCGCCAGTCTATTATGTGGTGATACAATACTGCGTCATGTCTCGAGTTAGGTGTTGGAAGGATTCATTGCTTAGTGTTTACAACCAAACCAAACAAAAAACCCCGAAACAAACATTTATCTGAAAATGGTTCGACAAATGAGTGCCAAAGGAGCCAATATCCAAGTAAAGTCTTTGATAGACTTTCAGAAAGCCTGGAGAACTGCTGATCAAGACCTCTTTAAAAAATTAAAAGAAAGTCTTTCTCTTTCAAAAATAATAAGAAGTGAAATTTGTCTTTGTGTCTACACACCCAAAAAATGACTGATACTGAAAGGAAAAACCCTACTGTTCTTCTGTTACTGTAAACTGTAAAATTAAACTAAAACTGTTACTGTTACTGTTCTTCTGTCTCTCTCAGCTTCTTTGAAGGTCATTCCCAACTGGTCTCAGTTTTTTGAGTACGAGAAAATAACTCTCAGCTGTGACGAGATAACCTCTGGTGAATGGACGGTGTGGAGATACACTACAGAAGGGTCAGTTTACCTCTGAAATACCAAAATGCACACAGAACAAATCTGACAGGTTAAAGGAAGACCACTTTTAATGTTTCACTCAACTAACAACAAATCCAATATACATTTAATTTCCAGACACTATTAATCACCCTTTAGGTGTGTTTCCTTATTTCAGATAATGTTAGTCTGGGTTGTGATTATCTGTTCATATATATTAAGAATCCATAAATCCATCCATATAATAAGAAATATAGTTAAATACGGTTATATCACCATTCTTATAGTTGTATTCAAAGTTGAATTATCCTTAGGTGATGTTGCTTCTATTTGCATCTTGAGCTACTGTAATTATTGCTGCTTAACGAGTTGAAGCTATGAGGACAATCAAACGTTTGATTTTGACATTTTTAGAAACCTAGTCCTTTAGCAGGGAGTCTGTGTAGCACTTATAACTGCAGATAAAGTAAAACTGTGGCACTTCCTGCTGATTTTGAACTTTGGACCTACTACAGATCATATTGCGCATTTAGTATCAGTTACTACAGTGATGTAGTTTGGTAAAAAGAGCCATCTTCATGACAAAAAACAAGAACAAAAACACAGCATCTGACTTAAGACTTAATCTTTTTTACCACTTCACCCTGTTTGGGGAAGTACAGTGATAAAAGCATTAGTAGAGATTTAACTCATCTGTCTGGTAGCCAAAGCCTCTCTTTCATGGCTTTTTTGGAGTTAGAAACTAATGTTAACTCATGTTAGCCCTTCTTTGCCTTAAATTGTTTTCTGAAATTTGGGGGATAGTGAATACAAATGATTTAAATTAAAATTTTGGCAAAGGAACAGACTCTGGTATATTTTTTTTGCTCACGTACATTTGATATGTAAACTGGAACAGCCAGCCAGGGATGGAACCACCAACCTAATTAGTAAAGCTCCGGCTCCACCTGGTCTACCTTCAGCCACCCTGGAAAGCTCCAC